GTATATATATATATATATATATATATGTATATATATATATATATGTATATATATATATATATGTATATATATATATATATGTATATATGTATGTATATATGTTATATCTTGAAACTCTAATTTATCATTTTGTTTTTTATGTAATTGGACTACAATAATTATATTTGGCATAGGAGTAGAGTAAGGATAAATGCAAGGTGTTGTTTGTGGAGACCATCTGATGGATGGTGAAATGATGTCTTTTTGGTACTACTATTGTACAGTATGTTATATAAGAGTTGTTTTACTGATAATTTAGGTTGTATAATTTACTTTTACTATATTATTGTATTTGTATTGCATATATTTGTATAATAACTTCATCTTTATATGCATATTATATAATACATATTTACGTATTTGTATGTATACAATTCTAAATTATTAATTATTTTTTCGTTATTAATTATCTATCATTAAGTGTAAAAATCATGATATTACAAAACAAATTTAATTTAAATTATTTAATCTATCAAATCAATTCATTAATTCCTTAAAGTTATAATGAGAATTACAAAACATAGAACTATCTTACATGAGAATGTGCTTAAAAAAATTAACAAGAAAGATTTTAGAGACTATTTTATTTTATTTATTTAATTCATTTTTTTATTTATTATAAATTTTAAAATATCTATTTATAGAAATTTTAAATATAATTTATATATTTAATTATATAATTGTTATTAAATTTAATTATATATAATGAATATTTAACTTATGCATTACTAAATCTAAAATACTAATTATATTATTAAGTCGACTCATGTGATTATTGTGATCGAAATCAATTTAATTAATAGTAAATGATTTTTCTTAAACCTTTAAGACGGGGAACATTTCCTGCTATGGAATTATTTAGGAATGACACATGTAATTATTATAATTTACAAGTATAATAAACATGGCCACCAGACAAAAAATCTTGTGCACTCTTACATTTTTCTAAATAACCTTAAAAAAAAAAAAAAAAAAAAAAAGGTTTGTCTTGTCCGAACTCCCCGCAATAATAATATTCCAACTACATCGCTTTTGCTTACCCTGAACTGGCGTAAACCAAAGCCCTGGCTTTGGTCCTTCGCTAGGGTTTGGGGATTCGCCATTTCCCATTTCGTCTCTTCTACGCTTTCTATCTTCACCCTCTTACTCACCCCTACAAATTCCAATGATCTTCTTCGCTCGCTTCTACACTTTTCAACTTCAAAGGTACTTCCTTTGTTCTCTTTATTTCTTTAAGCCTCCGTACAAGCTGTTCTAACTCTTTTTTTTCTTTTCTTTCTTTTAATTTTTTTTAGCCATGGTAACCCAATAGTTTTTTAAGATTGTCTGAATATATGGGTATCTGGGTTAGGGATCAAGGTTTGACTTTTATTTGAGTTTTTTTGCTAGTTTGTGAATTTGAAGGTGGTGATAATCATGTTATTGAAACTTGATACGTTTTGTGTGGTTCGCGTTTCAATTCCAGTATTGGAATTGGGTCGATGTGTTTGCTCGGATCGATGTTTTGATTGTCGTAAGGTTTTCAATTGGATATTAGGTGTTAATTGCTTTGAACTGTTGTGGATATTTTCAATTGCTTGGATTCAGTTATTTATTGGAAGCAAAACTGAAACAGGGAAATTCAATGCAGCTGTTTTTGAGTTGTTTCATGTGATCTCTGTGGTTCTGGTTCGGTTTATTGGGGATCTTGAGAGGATTTTGCTGAAGGCTGTGTCTCTGTAACAATGCCTGCTACGGATAATCAGGGGTCTTCTTCGTCGTTTTCCTCGTTCGGCCGTTCAATATTTGGTGTCAGGCAGGAGCAGGTTCATTCTGTGGAAGCAAGTCATGAACCTGATTCCTGTAATTTGGAGCTTGGATCATTCCAAAAGCGTGTTACAGATCGGTTTCAAGACCTTTCTGTGGCTAGTGATGAGGAATTTCTCTCGACTAATTGGATTCAGAAGCTCCTCAGTGCATTTATCAGTTGCCAAGAGGAATTTGGAGCCATTCTGTTGAATAACAAAGAGCTGGTCACAAAACCCCCACTGGATCGCATGATTTCTGAATTCTTTGAGCGTTCAGTGAAGGCACTTGACATTTGCAATGCAAGTCGAGACGGGATTGAGAAGATTCGCACATGGCAAAAGCATCTGGAAATTGTCTTCTGCGCCTTGGGTTCAAGTAAGAGAGCATTAACTGAAGGCCAGTTCCGGAGGGCGAGAAAGGCATTGATGGATTTAGCATTGGCAATGCTTGATGAGAAAGAGTCTGGATCAGTTTTTTCCCAGCGTAATAGGTCTTTTGGGAGACACAACTCTAGCAAGGATCATAACTCCACCGGGCATTCAAGATCGCATTCGTGGAGTGTCTCTCGATCCTGGTCTGCAGCCAAGCAATTACAATCCATAGCAAATAATCTTGCGCCACCGCGTGCTAATGAGATCGCTGCAACAAGTGGCCTTGCGATACCAGTTTATACAATGAGCTGTATTCTCCTGATGGTCTTGTGGACTCTTGTTGCAGCCATTCCTTGCCAGGATAGGGGTCTAAGCATTCATTTTTCATTCCCACGGCAGTTATCCTGGAGCACTCCAGTTAACCTGCTTCATGAACGGATCACAGAGGAGTCGAAGAAGCGAGAGCGCCGGAACTCGAATGGTTTGCTGAAGGAGATATATCAAGTTGAGGTAAGCACCCGCCGCTTGACTGACCTGATAGATTCAGCTCAGTTTCCGTTGGCAGATGATCAGAAAGCAGAAGTTGAACGCGATGTGATGGAGCTACTGCGTGCTTGTGAAGCTTTTAGAAATGGTTTGGATCCGTTGGAGCGTCAAGTGAGGGAGGTCTTCCGGAAGATAATGACATGTCGAACTGAGGGGCTTGATTACCTTGGCGCCTCAAGCTATACAGAACAGTGATAATGGTGGGTTGTTGATGAGCTATCAGATGTACAAATTTGCGGGACATGTATATTTTGCATCTTACCAGCTTTTTTTGAGGGGAGGAATGACTCAGCATGATAAGCAGATAAATGTTTTAGAACTCTTATAATGCATTGTATTAATCTCAGTACTTGTGTAAAAAAAAAAATTGGTCAGTTACGTGTTAAATATTTTTTAGTTTCTTTGCTTAATTTTATAAATTAGCGTTTCCCTTGCCCATGTATAACGCCTTGAAGTATATCTTTTTGTGGTGTTGAACAAAATAAGGAGCTTGGACAAGAGGCTAATGAAGGGGTTTGGATAGTTTGTAGGTTCAAATTTTATAATTACTATTGAACCCTTTTTCATTTTCTCAATCCAATCTTCTAGAATATAGAGTCAACCTACAATGAAAAGAAACGCAGAATGAAGAGAAATGGATGGGGAGTGAGCAGAATGACAGAATAAACGTGTCGTTTCTTTCTATGCGTTTGAACATACCAGCGTTAAATGTTTTACAATTGCTCCGTTTACACTGTTTTGTGCTGGGTTCTAATAGCAGCCCAAGACATTTTATAGGGTGTAACATTATTTTGACAAAATATTTGGTCGTTAGTTCATTTGTGTTTTACATTCGTTTATTTTGACAAAATATTTTATGTGTTCTAATATTCGTTTAGGGTGATTGATTTCTTCTAATCTTGTCTAGGCTCTAGAAAAATTTAATGAACTGCTATTTTTGTTTTATTGTACCAAGAGTACTTGCAGCGAAGAGCTGAGACTAATCCCTTTATTAAACCCATCGTACCAACAAAAACGCTGGTAGAACGTGGTACATTTAAGATCTCCCTAGGTATTATTAGAGGCTGCGATGTGACTGTGTAGTTCAGTTTTGCACATCTTCATTTTCCATTGTCCCTCCCTAGACCAATATTAAAAAAACTCAACCAATCCAAGGGCCATTAATTCTCATTTACATTGGAATACCGCTAAAATAATTTCCGTATTGACAACTTAAAGTATTTATAGTTTATTTTAACTCTGCAAGCACAACTTCATGATCCAGATGCACAGTGCACCATCAAAACGTATCTATAGTCAAAATGTTCACATATTTTGCATAAACCTGGTGCGAAGGATTTAGTTTGGATCTCTTGTATTTGTTACTTGAATCTATACAACAAGGTATATTTAATTTGTAAACTAATATTGAAATATGAACAGAAATGGCACAAGGAACGTAATGAATCTAGTAATCTGCACACAAAATAGTGAGCCTAGTAATCTGTAAACTACATGGATTCTATTTCTATCGCGGGTATGAGGAAGAGAGAACACAAATAAACCGTAGACAACAGCAAAATCGTTGATACCAAAACCGTTGACAAATTAAAGAACGGGGCTATGAAGTTACAATGACACTGGAAAAAGTTTTCTGAAGTAAAGGATGGAAGTTATCTAGAAAACTCTTTGAATATAATCTGTCAGTGTACAACATTTTTCTAGGTTCCTAAGCCTACAGAACTAACAGACTTTTATAACTTGAATAGACATGGTAAACCCATGATTCTGTTTTTTTATACATACATGCCTACACCCTGCCTACTGGCCAAAAGGCTGTGTATTCCCATCCATAACTGAGAAAAGAAAAAGAAAAAAACTATATAACTATAAAAGAAAGTAATTTACAGCGGCCAAGGTTCCATGCATATTTGCTGTTCTGCAAATTCCCCAAGTTCCTCACCCCAAATGTGGACACATTTTGGGAGAAATCAGATTCACCATTTTTTTTCCTACTGCGAGGAGCCAAGGATGCTGTTGGAAGTATACCAATTCATGGAGTTCTGACCCTTGATGGACTTTGAATTGACATCTCTAAACTGTTTTGATTACAATGCATGCCTTCAGTTTCAATCTTCTTGAAGTCTTGTCTCAACCTCACTGTCTATCTAAATCAGCAATGTTGCCTGAACTCCATGTAGATTCCTTCTTTACAATCTAAATTCTAAACAGCTCTGGGAAAGACCACATTATGAATTTTGCAAAAATGTCAGACTCCAAGAACTCAATATGAGCAGTCCGTCCTATAAGAGTGTTTAAGTTCCTGCCATAGGAAGAGGTGTTGAAGTTGATGTCACAGCGCATGACTACCCTATCTTCAGAGTGAGTTCGGATTTGATCCAAGCAATTATTCAGCATCTCCAGGAAGATTTTTCCTCTCTTAGAGAAATCTGAAGAAGCTGCTGGACATGGTTCTATTCTGGCAGAATGGTATGGAACATAGCCATCCTGACATGTAATGAGAAGGAATCATTATGATATACATTTTGAAATAATAATAATAATAAATAAATGAACTATATCCAGATTAAAGGTTATGCATAAGAAAAACCTTTGTTTCTAAGGTTACCTTGCATTGAACACTTAACAAGATCCTATCATTTGCACAGAACCCCTTTTATCATTTATCAACAGAAATATTTTGAAAGGATAAAAGACCCTTGGACAAGAGCAGAGAGAGTTACTAAATATTCATGATATCAATCTTAGCATGAATCCAAATCAATGTAAGCTTTCCAGCCTGTATATTTCTATGTAATTTGTTTTACACTTTTTCATACTTAAGTTATAATCTTTTTCTACATCTTCACCCTTTAGGAAATGATCCAGCATTTGAATGCAGGATATTTTAAAATAAGGCAAGGAAAAGTTCTAATGTTGGTCTTACAAACCATGATAATTCCCATCATAAGCATATAAGGCTTACCTGAGGGGAAGACAAAAGAAGCACATTCCGAAAGTTAGCAAGTGTGTTCTCCTGTGGACAATAAAAAGCAGTTAAGACTAATAGAGTATCACTTATGTGACCATGTATGTCCCTTTAAAACGTAGCAACCGAATTTGAACAAAACATCCATGTAGCCACTTCTCCAATAATTTTCAAAGCCCAAAAAACACATTATCACAATTACAGAAAGAGACCTTAGAAAGACAATTTATTTATAATCAATAGCAAAATATTATGCATTCAATACCTTAGAAAGATTATAGATGAAAGTATTCTCAAGATCAGGGTCATCTGTAAAGGTAAGTTGGTGAATGCATTGTGTGCCCTTAACCTTCTTCAATATCCACAGCCCTGAATTGAATAGAGAGTTCGAACTATACATATATCCCAAGTGTGGACCGGATATGGAGACATATGTATGTAAGTATCTTAGATATGGCTCCATGATGCTCTCTGGAATTATTTAAAAGATAGAAAGTAAATTATTTTCCCTAGTGTAAGTTTTGTGAATAATAGAATCCTCAAAAGCTGTGCATAGCTACCTGTTAAGGCTGTCCTGATAATGAGATTCCCAATAGAATGACCAACAAAACTTAGCTTGATTTCTTTCAAGCTTCCACTTCTTGAAGCTTTATCCATCTTCTTTTTCAGGAAAGAGATCACTTCCTGGGCAAGCCGTGATCCCATTTCTCTGAAATCTCCGGATGTTTTATCTTCATTTGCCTCTGACATTAGAAATTGTATCTTGGGGTCTATTAAAAGCCATTGGTTCCGAACAAGCCTTAAATCCAAATGATTTCCCTGTTATGATTGAGTGATGAGGGGTACACTTAGTCAAATCATCTATTATTGTAAAAAGATGGAAAACAAGACAAACTAACAACAGTAAACCAACAAACTGATCCAACCAACACAGTAGAGCAGGAACCCCATTAATAGAGTTTAACTTCTGGTAGTTATTGATTAGAAATATATATCTAATAGTAGGTCTTGTAATTTGGTGTTTTTTGCAGTTTGGGGACAAAGAATACTCTCTGTAGGAAACTATTGTCTCCAGAACAGCAAGCATATTGTTGTATTTGTGGAAAGATTCAAAGTTGTACAAAATTTGTAACAGTGAATGATCACAATTTCCAAATCTTTTAAGGACTAACCAAATAATTATACTGTATAATAGTTACTTCTTTGAACAAAAGTATAAACGATAGAGCAAAACAGTATGCTGCAATTTTTGATTGATGCTCTGTGATTAATATATATGACAGGTATGGCTTTTACATTTGTAGGGTTGAAGTCTACAATTAAAAAGTAGTAGTACTCTAGTTAATAAATTATATTTTATCAACAAGAGTGAGAGTTACCAACAGCCAAATCCTCAGAGGGAAAGCCCAAATTATTTTGTTTGCCCAAAGTTCCCAACTATAACTCAAACATGTTGTCCCCCTGACCATAGGTAATCTAAATCTTCAGTGGCTACATAACCTTAGTGTTCAAAAACATCACAAACTACAAATATTGACCCAATTTCAATGCTTTTTGTGCAAAAGATGTGAAATTAGGCACTGCATAGGACATTTTAAGACAGTAACAACATAGTTTTGAATTCTCCCATTTCCAGTTTTATCCCAGAACATAAATTGCTACTTCAGTTTTCAAAAACAAGTACTCTAGGTGGCAACTCCTAAGAGATTGAAAGCCAAAAGTAACAAAATATAAGGAGACAGAACCAAAAACAGATAAAGGAGATAAAAGCAACTGCAAGAATGTGAAACATGCCTGAAAACCATGAACAAAAACAACTATTCTCAAAACATGCTCATTTTGTTGTGGGCTAGTACCACACAACTTGTTGGTGGCTCTGGATCCATTTTCTAGGATAAGCCTCCCTCCATCCTCCAAAGGAATGAAGTTTGAGTTCACACTGGCAGAATGGTACACGTTTGTCAAGCGTTCTACAATAATAATAGGAACCAGCAGAGGATCACCAAATATATACATGTCTTGAAGTGACCGATTGTTGATCTGCATGGGATTCACATAAAACAAATTCAGTCATGTGAAACTATAAGATAGCAAAGCACTCCAGAAAAATACAATTACTTGCCCTCATTTGTGATATTCCTCGCCTGTGAAGTTCTGCACGCATTGTTGCAATATGAATAGGCTGAATAGAAGAAAAAGAGATATAACATATTTGAAGAAAATGACTCAGTAAAATAAAGGGGAAATCCATATGACAGCAGTACTAATCAATTTCAAATACAGCAGACAATAATGAATTTTATGAATATTGTATAATAGATTATTACATCATCAAGAAACCTCCTTGTACTTATTAAACTTCTATGCATGCCATGGGACAATGTCATCCTGTCTAATTCATTGCTCATATTTTGATAAGGCATTGCAACCTTTGAGTACACCATCCATATTGACCATTCAGTTCTCCGATCAATTGCCCAAGACTTGCGAAGAAATTCCAGTATTTTTGTTTTGTTTTCCCTGGGTAAAATGGTAAGATTGAAAAAGATGTCATTGACTTAACAATACTGCTGAGATGTAAAGCTCAAATAGTTCATCTTTTCTCACAACATAACATTCTAGGTTTGCATTCATGTTACATGTAGAAACCATAAAACACATGTACAACAAAAAGCAGCCTCATTCTGGACAAGCTAATCTCACTTAGCCTGGCATCCAAACTCAAGCTTGGCTAAAAACAGTAGGCAAAAAGATAAACTTCAAATAAAAAAAAGGCAAAATAGTTCTTCATTATGCTATAATGACCTGAATGGATGTACAACTGTAGAAGCATTAATTTACTAAAATAAGGGCTTCAAGGATCATAAAACTGCCAAACATAAATAATTATTTGGATATGAAATTACTTCAATTATATATCAGAACAAACCTGTGAAATTTCAGAAATATATTCCAGAGACATAAGAGCTGATTCCCTAAAGACTGGAAGGAGCTTAACAGATGATCATCCCAAGAAAAAGGTTCAATTGACTTCTCAGTGAGATTATTGATATAATGTGCAGATTTCTGTTTAGAGAAAGATCGAAGTACTAAATCAGTAAATAGTTCAAAACACAGAAGCTAAAATAAATAATGAAATGTTCAAATTGCCAGAATTAAAGATCTCAACACTGACTTGTGGCCTGTCAAACAGTTCAAGTGATGGATCACCATCAACACTTTTAACACATGTAGGTGGAGTAGAAGTAAACCATTCTGTAGCATCTGATTCAAAAGCAACTTCAGTCAAATCAATAGCTTTGCCAATGCCTGCACTTATTCTTCTCAAATCTTCAAGCAGGATATCATAGGAAGCCAATAATGCTTTGATGAGCATAACCTGATTTGAGTTATGATGACAATCAGAAGAAGAATAAGTTACAATAATAGTAAGCAAAGGGATTTCTCAACAAAATTAAGCTTATCAGATAATATAAACCACAATTTTGCATTATCAACTTAAAACACCATCAAACAAGAAAAAAAAAGTTATTATGTAACCTATACACAATACATCATACCTTGTTTGCTCCAACATAATCTTCAACATAAGCACCTTCCGAACCTCTGGAATCACTGATATAATTCAACTAATCATATCATTCAAAAGTTAAAACAATACATTATGTAAAACAAGTAAAAGAAACATAATTAAGTTATGGCTGTTAAAATTATAAGGTTTAGATAATATGAATGGGACGAGAGCATGGCAATACTAATGAATAATATGATATTAGATTTGATTTAACATATATAAAATCAGGCAGACAATCCTCAATGCCTATTTAAACAAATAATTATACTTAGTAATTACCAGCCCAAGCCCATTAATACATTAACACAGAACCCTAATTAACCAATTGAACAACTTTTATTACTCCTCGCGTAGAGAACTAACTGATTCTAATGATATATTCATGATATTCTAACAGTGATGATGCAACAGATACTATAGTATACATTTGAACTTCAAAAAACTGGAACTCTGACAAACCTGGATACCTTCTGTCGAGATGTGTGATAACTAGCTTTTAGTAGACTGATGTGAATGCTTGTATCAAGAAGGACAGCATGAAAAGCATCAAAATGAACAGGACAATATGAATGCAATCCCCAAAGGGCTTTAGGGGGGATTTTAAATTCATGAACTGAAGCAGCATATGCATCCAATGAACCTTGTAACTCAGGCCTATACAATGATGCAATAAGTTCAGAGTTCACAACCTCAAATTCACATGATCATAATAATAACATCTAACTCAAAATCAATCATTGTATGTTCACTTGTTTAGTACACCACTGCACCCAAAAGGGAAAGA